TACAGTAGTAAAATTAATTTTACTTCCTAAGCAGTTGTACTACAGCTACAGCAGTGAATGCATCCAGTCCAGTGNTTGGTTCATCAAGGAACAATACTTGTGGTTCTATTATCAGCTCCATACCAATGTTAGTCCTCTTCCTCTCTCCTCCACTGACACCACGAATGAATTCAGTACCAACCTGTATACATGTACATGTAGAGCTTATAATAAATACATGTACATTGAATAATGACATTTAGTTTTTATGCATTGTAGTATGATTTATAGTTATAGCTACTGTAAACATGAAATTGATTTTTATAATGCAAAATTTAAAAACAACATAACCAATAATTTTGTACTTAAAGTTGATTTTAAAACTTTATAGTAGCATCTAAAGGGTAGCATTGCCATTGCAATTTGTGACTTTTATAGCAAATTTTGTGGCATGCTTTATCATTTAGAAATCTTAAGCCTCTTTCTCTCTCTATCTCTTCTTTTTCTTTTCATTACTTTAGTATCAGCACATCCAGTTAGTCCTAGCTCTCCGATAACTTTCTCTACTCGTCTCTTCTTCTCCGCCCACTTCATACTATTGGGTAGTCTCAGAGCAGCTGAGAAGTACAAGTTCTCACGGACAGAGAGAGTACCCATGATGACATCATCCTATAATAAGAATGTATATATATATATATATATATATATATAATATAATATACAATGATACATGTAAATAATTAATTTAAGGACAATGTATATTGTACATGTACATTGGCCTGATTTTCGAGTAACTTTTAAAATTTGTAAAAAATCCAATTTTGACCGGAATCAGCTCAAACTTTCTACACGACATGAGAATTACTTACGTATGCATTAGGAAAAAGTGAATTCTCTTTTTTTTAATTTTGGCAAAATTTGTTCAAACACCCTGAGAAACTTTGGCCCAATTCTTATTTAATTAAACAATTTCAATGAAACTACAGCGTACATGTATATACAGTATCATGTGATGGTCATGTGACTATGGTGTACCTGTACAACGTATCCACTCATACACTTGAAGTATTTTGGTTGTGGCCGTCCATTAACTAACACAATACCAGTTAGACCACCTTTTGACTTCCTGTCAGCTAGTACATCTAACAGACTGTAGAGAGAGTGGGAGGAAGAAAAGGAGAGAGAGAGAAAAGTGAAGTTATTTAGGCTATTGAGTAACTTGAACAAAGTACCATGTACCATGCTTATACGAGTTATGACCATTTTAAGACATTGGCTGCTCATAAAAAAATTGGCCTGATTCTAACATGGTGAAAGCATGTGAATTCACATGTGTTTAACATGTTGGAATCAGGTCAAACTTTCTATAAGCTTCAAAACAAGCTACAAAACATCAAAATAGCTACATACTAATATTCATTGTGATAGTAATTATGATTATTATCAACCCAAAATGAATTCATAGGATATGATGTACACATGTTAGTTTGACCCCAACACCATATAAGGTAATCTCAGCTGTCAATCATAATGTCACACACGAGTGGAGTGTGATACTTACATGTGAGTGTGACTCATACAACTATCCGGAATTCAGTAGTTGCAATTAACTCACTTTGAGCAATTACATGTACATGTACAATGTTATTGCTTCTAGCTAATACATGTACATAAAATGTGCATGTACAGAAAATTGGTGCTGTAGTGCTACATGTTATAGAATACTACCATATCATCAAGAGTACAACCCATCATGTACTCTTGATATAATGTATTTGCACAAATTAACAAAAAATATTATAATAATAGCTATTTTAAATTTTTAAAATCTTTTTGTACCAACATTAATTAAAGCATATAAACAAAGCATTATTGTTATAAATACATGTGCATGTGCGTACCTTGTTTTTCCACTACCAGTTGGTCCCATTATAGCATTAAGGCCTGGCCTCATAACACCACTGGTCCGGCCATAATAAAGAGAGAGATTAAGATGGAGGGACAAAAGAAAGAGAGAGAAAGAAAGAAATAAAGAAACAATAAAGGCAGTCATTGGTTTAGTTTGGTGTAAAATAGAGGCGGGAAAACTTGAGAAAAATTTTGGATTATAATTAGCATCATGCATGGTACAAGCTCCAAGCAAACAAAGTCTCACGTTAAATTGTTAAGTATGACTTTGGTGGTCTTTTTAAAGACCCCACTGGTAACAGCATAGCTAACATCATGAAAAGATAAGGACACTGCGGCCTGCTTCTCTCCATCTGCTCCAGTGGGCCTAGCAGCACTGACGGAGCCATAAGACTCGGGATAATCAACGATTGCTTCCTTCTCCATGACAGATCCAATTAAGAAGTGTAGCTAACTAACTATGGAAGCTCCACTTTATAGCTAAGCTCAGACTGAGCATTTTTCATTATTACAAACTGTTACAAAATCAGAAGCCACACCTCACAATCACAGCCACAACAGGTAATTGCTTTCTTACATGCATAGCAACAATATTGATTGGTCAGCAATGCATTTTGTCTAAATTTATTATCTTGTGAAAAAAGGCCAAATGAAATCAAATCATAATGAGAAACAATCACAAAAATGGGAGCATAAATGTTTCTGTTAGCTACTAGTAGTAGTGTGCAATGAAATATAGAGAACTGTCCGATTAAAGAAGTGTACAGCTATACATGTAGCTAGATATTTACAGGCTGCCTTCCAGTCTCCACAGCACTGATAGGGGACATTCTCTACAAAATAATAATAATAACAACAATAATTTAGAATAGCACAATAAATAATAATAATAATAATAATAAGAACAGCAATAATAATGATGACAATAATTATTATTGCAACAATTTAAGGCTTACAATTTGAAGTGAAGTATTGCTATATCTCTTCCTTCTTGCAGCCAAACAGAAATAGACAGCAAAGTATAAGTATTGTGAGATGATAAAGGTGACCATTACAAAGAGAATTATACCAAATATGACGAGGAAAAGCTCATAGGATGATGGACCTGAAGTTGAAGAAATGAGAGAAGGTGTAGAGGAATGAAGAGAAGAATAGTAAGAGGAAGTATGGAGGAAAGAGAGAGAGTTTGAGAGAGAAGGAGAGGAGACAGAGAAAGTGGAAGAAGGAGAGATTGAACTGGAAGATAGTGAGGAGAGAAATAGAATTGATGAAGAGAGAATGAGAGAGGACGAAGGAGAAAGAGATGGTAGAGAATAAGGTAATAAATATTATGAGAGATAGAGGGACATACAGTTGGGGCCCAGTATCAGTTGATGTTCCAACAAAAGAGAGTCCTCCATCATCAGTTGATGCTCTTCCAACAGAAACTGTAAGAGACTGAGTTGGATTAAGCATTAATGTTGAAGTGGGCATAAAACCAATGGGAGACATTCCAGACACAATTGATGAGATTATCATTACTGGAGATGAACTCATCATTAAAGGAGAAGAAGTGCTCAGTGACACAGACTCAGTAGCAGACTGAGTTTCAGTAGCAGTATGAAGTGATGAGGTTTTTGAGGTGGTTATGGAGCAGCTGGTGGAGAGATTATCTCTGACAGCTGCAAAAATAAAAATTATCAAAAATAGCAGACTAGTGTAGCCTCTACATATACATGTACAGTATTACAGTGTAGCCTCTATATAATAGACACTTGGGTACAAGAAAGTTGCTCTGCTATGTGGAGGTTATTTTATGCAGTAGGAAATGTCATTGGTACACTAGGTGAGGTGATGACGGTCTGATAAACGGAGGAGTATGTTATAAATAGTGTCCATTAAAAGAGGCTATACTGTAGACATTAATCCATGATAAGTGCTGCTTAGCGAATATAACAAAAATGACTAGATCTACAGTATCTAATCATTCGCAATTTTACATAACATGATAATTATCATAAAATCTTACGAAAACATGTGTCTTGACAATCTCTGAGCCTATCAAATGTGTTATGAGGATTACCGTAACCATTGGTCACATTTGAATGTGGCTTATAAATACATTCTCTATAGACAAAAAATTTACACGAGCCTTGAAAACTGTCATAGTAATATTTCGTATAGGCCAGGTGTTCACAGGAATCATGAGCTACAGAAGAGGGAAGTGGAGTTTTATACTTTAAAAAATGTCTCCTTACGCCGATAATAAGTCCCACTGCATTTATCAGTGCTGGATAAAGACGCAGCGAGAGGAAGAACACATAAGAGTACTATTGCAGCAGTCATCATGTCACACAGCAGTAGAGACCGGAGACAACGTTCTGCCACGTGACTTTGCGCATGCGCAGTTCAGCAGTGATTAAGAAATTAATGTATTGCATGATGATTATTATTTCAATCTTAAAATTGCAAGTGTTATGTACATAATGAGTTAATCCATCTGTAAGATCCACTGACCATCACTTGTCTGCTTTACGTGATCATATTTAGTAAGGTTCCTCCACTTGTCCTTCAAAGACATACAGCTTATGTGCATTAAGTCATGTTTGCGTCTTATCATAGACCAGTCTCTCTTACTACCTCTAAAAGTGTAGTTCCTATTTATGCCAGCAACAAGGTTCTTAATGTCAGTGCGAGAAAACAATGAACGTCGATTTTGCAAATGAAGCTGTTTAGGAGAGACTGTTTCATTAATAAGTGATCTGTGGTGTCTTCTCTTATAAGAGGGTCCTTCAGGTAGACGTGACTTTGGAGTGAGCCCCTCATTGTCCTCTGATGAAATATCTTCATCGGATGTAGACCAGACCTCCGTCACGCCAGACTCTGCAGGCTTCCTTAATTTGGGATGCTTTCGCTCTTGCTGTCGTTGCTTTATTGGAGAAGAAGAAACAGCTTGCTCTTTGGTTTCCTCACGTTCATTCTCCATAGGTTCAGTAGGAGAGGAACTGATTCGTGAGGCTGTGGCTGAAGGAGGCCCAGAGTGAGGAGAAGTGGGCAGGTTACACTGCGGAGATTGAAGGCCTTGAGGAGAGGCACTACCTTGAGATGAAGGGCTACCCTGAGGAGAGGGTCCGTCCTGAGCTGAGGGTCCGCCCTGAGGTGAAGGGCTACCCTTAGGAGAGGAACCGCCCCGAGGAGAAGTACCACCCTGAGGAGAGAGGCTGCCCAGAGGAGAGGGGCCACCTAGAGGAGAGGGTGCACCCTGAGGAGGTTCCATTGGAGAACCCATTGGAGAATGATAAGAAGAAGAGGGAGAATGAAGAGGAGAGGATGCAGGAGAGTCAAGAGAGGAGGCTTCAATGTGAAGCTCAGCTTCAGACTCAGTGTCTGGATTATTTTCTTCACAGTCAGTATCAGTACGTGTATAAAAGCTCCATACTGGATTAATCAAGTCTCTCTCCGGACGGCTTTTATGACTCGTCCTCAGCATCAAAGATAATTTTTCGTCCAGTTCCATGAGCCTCTCATCATTGTACGCCATCTTGAACTCTTACTGCACATGCGCAGTAGAGCCTCCCGGGTACTGATACAAGAGAAGGCGCGAAACTGTAGTGAGGCTAAGCAAGCTCTTTTCAAGTCTTTTGAGGCCATGGCGGATCAGGACATCAAGGAAATATTAGATATAGATGTAAAAGAGCCACCAAAGACACCTCAACTCACCAAAGAAGCCATAATAGGATCAGTGAAGGTACAAAATAAGGTGCACTTTAATTAGAAATGTCTACGTATAAAATCTTTTACCACTCATAAGAAAACGAAGAAGTCTACTGATGTGGGGCTACGCCGTCCATCTGGCATGAACAGGGAAGTGTATGCTTTACTGTACTCTGATCATAGGTATAGTGGAGTTTGTTAGTAGTACTTAGCACTACATGTACATGCATAGTATGTACATGTACATGTACATGTACATACTATGCATGTACATGTAATTATTAATATTTTTTGTGTACCACCATTTGTTACATGTAATCAGCACTTTTGAGTGAGTTTGAAGTTATTAGGACGTTTTCAAACTTTGCTTTAGTTGCAAGACTCGTATTAAACCTAATGACAGCAGGTGGGATTAATGGGGAAATATTACGTACATGTACATGTGCCTCTATTATTGTCAGTAGCATATCTTTAATTTAAGAAGGAATCTTTATGCTCGTGACATTAATTTAATTTTTTGTATTTTAGTACATCACTGATACCAACTGACAGTGGATCAGGCTACAGACACCCAAAGGCAAGACTAGGAAGGAAGCACGTTAGACCTTGGAAATGGATGCCATTCACAAACTCAGCCAGAGAAGTAAATCATTTAATGTTATTCTACAAGTCACAGTATGGCTGGCTTATTTTGTGACCTCAATTTTAAAAATAATATTTTTTGGGCTTTATATATATATATATATATATATATATATATATATATATATATTTTTTTTTTTTTACAAAGATTCGTTAAATTACATGTATCCTTAATCTTAGTGAAATTACATGTAGTTTAGCAGATTTGAGCCTTGCGCAACAATAAATGCCACACCAAATAAACCAACTATTATGTAATTGCTGTTATTACAAGGCACATTCATCTACAGTGTAATATACGGTACATAAAGAACATAAAAACTTGCAATGTGCATGTACTGTACATGTACTTTGTAGTAGGAGAAATAATGTTTTCACTATTTTTTCCATTTGAGAAACCGCTTGCTATTTTACTGTTAATTTATTAAAAATAGTTTAATGATAGATTTGAAATTTTAGATATTTAGTTATTAAGTGTTAATTTTTAATTTAGGATGAGCTGGTGTTGTATCATTGGCGTCGGACTACCGAAGAAGGAAAGGATTATCCTTTTGTTCAGTTCAACAAGAAACTTCCCATTCCAACATACACTGATGAGGAATATACTGTAAGTCATGCACTGACTTGTAGTACATGTACATGTACATATATTGTACAGTAAGAAGTACATGTAGTATTGTGTAGGTAGACAATCCCTCAGTAATTAGTATTCAAATACACAGTACATGTACTATTTATGCTATTGGCTCCGAAATCACCCCCAATTTTTATTACATTTTCTAATACATATTGATGTACTTATGCTACGTAGCAAGTTTGAGCTGATTCAGACTTCAATTTTTTGAGTTATGACCATTTTTTAAAAACTCCAAATTTTGGAAAAATACCCTGTGCCCATTGTTTTTTCCAAGAAATGGCTTCGAAATCACCCCCAAATTGTATTACATTTTCTAATTTATATTGATGTCCTCATACTACGTAGCAAGTTTGAGCTGATTCCGACTTCAATTTTTTGAGTTATGACCATTTTTAGAAACTCCAAATTTTG